AAAATAATAATAATTTATAAATTAGCAAGGGTTCATGAAAGAGAGGGGTCATTGGGGGAGGGGAAAATGAGGAGCTGATACCAAGGGCTCAAGTAGAAAATAAATGTTTTAAGAATGATGATGGCAACAAATGTACAAATGTTCTTGACATAATGGATGGATGTATAGATTGTGAAAAGGTTGTATGAGCCCCCAATAAAATGATTATTTTTTCTACAAAGAGTTGTAATCATATTACAAGCATTACCCTCATCAATTTCAGAACATTTTCTTCTCATATTCATTGTCAGTGTCACATTCCCCCCAGTCTTCCTTGTCGTACTCCTGAGTAATTATTAATCCAGTTGTGTTTCTGTAGATTTATCTATTCTAGAATTCATAAATAGAAAGTCATACAAAATTTCTAAGAAGTTTTTGTAAATTAGATCCTTGAATGCTCCACCATATCTATATATTTGCAGCATAAGTGAAAATATGTATATAGAAATATCTTCTGTCAAACCTATATATAATTTGTCAGTATACTCCCACTCTTCCTCCCACAGCTGCTCAGCCAGTGTGCCCATCCAAGCATCTACTTGTAGATCACAGTTATTGTAGGAGTGTGATTATAGCAGTATTTACCTCTGTTGCCTTAACTCTGTACTCCTCCCAGTCTCCTTCCTTGCCTCCATTATTTTTATTGCCAACCTCCCTCTTATAGAACATTGCCTTCCCTCTCATCTAAGTTAATGTATGTCTATTAGTATATGTCTACCTTAGCCAGTGATTTCCCCTCCCTGCCCTCCTAACACTGGAAATCATCAAAGACTGCTTCTTTTAGTGGGAAAGACTTCTATTGACTTTTCATAATAGTAGTCTCACATAATATGTGTCCTTTTGTGATTGACTAATTTAACTCAGCAAAATCCTCTGGATTTCTTTTATGGGAGAGAGAAGTAAGCCATTATCGTATTTAAATCCCTTTTCTGAGTTTTATATCATACAAAAATAAAACCAGGCCTAACTGAGAGAGTTCTTAGAGAACAACCAATTTGCAAAACTTAACACCTAAAGAGCAGTGAGAATTATAACCTGAGAGCAAGTGGCTGTACTCTCCTGGGTGAGGCCCAAGGTGAGACGGCCTAGCACTTACTCATCACCAATGTAGAGCTTAGGCCAGACCTCGTTGACATGGGTGTACTGCGGACTGCCCTTCCAGAAGAGACGCTCCAGCTCAAAGGCTCCAGGGGTACAGTAGTCCTCTGCCTCTTCCTCCTCCTTCAGCAACAGCCGCTTGGCAGACACATGGGCATTCTTGGGGCTTATCTTTGGTTCTCCAGTTGCCATTTTGGAGCCAAGGGATTTCCGTTCTTTTCTGCAGCTGGGGATGAGAGAGAGTCGAGATTAGGGTTAGCAGGGGACACAGAAGTGGGAATAAACCTGTCTCAAAATTTGGCAAGTGGTTCCGTTTGCTGTGCTCCTGGTTTTTCTTCCCAAGCCATGTAGGGAGGCCATGATGACAGTTAAACTCTCCACCATTACAGGAGCCTCAAGAGCAAGCGGGCAGGAGGAATGAGGAGGCATCTGAGACAGGCCTGAGTGGATTTGACCCAAACTGGACTTTGGGCCTAAGAAATCTTTGAAGGCAGTATGTTGCCATCTTCATTTTGGATTTTGTCTCGGATGAAACTTTGGTTTCTATTTTTTCTTTGATCTGGCTGTAACCTATTCGTTCTGACTATTTTGAGTGCTCGGAGGTTCCCAGTATTCCAGGCGAAGGCCACAATGAGCAACTGCAGAAGTGACCAGCCAACAGAAAGAACGTAGCTCTCCATCCAGGGTCTGGGTCTGAGCAGCCACGCATGCCAGTAGGTCTGCAAATACCTTGGAGTAGAAGGAAAATGGGGGCTAGTAATCTTTTTTTTT